ATTTTAAGGCATGTTATGAATTGATACTTTGGATTGGCATAGTAATGACCAAAAAGGACTGGCTGCTACTACTGTTGATATGCTGTTTGATTTGCTGCTCAACCATTTATTCTTGTTAGGCTATTTTTGTTGAGATCAAGTTGTCTTGGTGTGGAAATTATGTGTATGTGTAGAATTCATCAAGCCTGCTTGTTTTAAAATGTTGTTTTGACCAAGACTTGCTGCCAGCTTTTGTTTTGTGTTTTCACCTCATGTGCTATCAATCTCTGTATTGAGTTTTCTTGCCATTTGTGTTTAGAATTCATGCCTTGATGTATGTGAATCATCTATGTGTATTAATGTTTTGAAATATTGGACTGCTGCACCATGAACTGTTCTTATTTTCAAAACAGCATTCCAAGCACTTTTGGTCAATAATTGCAACTTGCATACCAGTTTCTGTTTTGGTTGGTTTTTTGATGTACTATGCATCTAAATTCCATGAATCATGTATTTGAAGTTTGTGCATACCTTCATCTGGTCTTAATCACTTCTGTTTTGAGTTGTGGCTTCCATAATGCATTTCCAAGTTTCCATTTGCACTTGCAATCGTGTTTTATTTTTTGTGCCTTGTCTTGAAAAACTAATGATGGCATCGTGTTCCTTGTTGAATTTCACATGAGATAGACCCAAATTTTGTTAAATTTGACTTTCTTTTGAGTAAGTTACGATGAAACTGTTTCCATGTCAACTTGCCTTGTTGTTTGTCTTGCCTTTTGCCCATAATGCTTGTCTTTTTAGGCTTATGTATTTATTGGGGTGGAATAATACACGGATGTATCGCCACCCCAGTTGTTATGCCTTGCTTCTCATTTGCCTTGCCATGCTACCTGACCTGAGTTCGATCCGTGTGGAGATCAACTCTTTTGGTCACTTTCCATATTTTCCATGTTTTCACATTTTTTCTATCTTTTTCCTTCAATTAACACGTGCGCGCCTTGGCTGGTTTGGCAAAATTTTGATCTTGTAACCCAAAGGTAGTGGGTTCAACACCCACCAAGAGCACATCCTTATTTTTAATTACTATGTTTGTTTGTTTTTTTCCTTCAAATTTCAAAATAGCACAACTTTGTCAATTTTTGTCATTTTTGATTGATTCTTTTTGCAATTGTCTTGTATTTTTGCATATTTTCATATGGTATGTGAATATTCTAGAACTTTCATTTTAGGAATATCTTGCATTAAAAATTGTCATGCTTTTTTTTATTAGGGTTTTTACCCTCCTTTACATTTCAAAACTTTTGATTCCTTTTCTTGAGTTTGATTGTGTACTTAATGTGAGTATTGTTTGTCAACTCCTTTGTGTATGTGATTGTAATTACTTTTGCTTGTAAGCATCATGATTTTTTCATTTGATTTCCATTTAAAATCCCCATGAAGTTATAACTTGTTTGCATTGGTTGTTACTTTCATCTTTGTCAAGATATGCCTTTGGTTTTCACCCTTTGTGCTTATGTCTTGTAAGGACCCCTTCATGATATTGTGATATCCTTATACCATGTTTTTGGTTGTGACCATCTATCTTTATTGTAATCCTTGCTTGATATTGTAATATGCTTGCATGTTCCTGGTTGTGACCATCTATCTTGTTTGAAATCATTGATATTGTGATATCTTTATACCTTATTTTTTGTTGTAACCATTCATCCAGATTGAAATACTTTCTTATTGTAATATGCTTGTTTATTCTTGGTTGTAACCATATCTCTTTGTATTCATCCTGTTTGAATGATCATTGCTTTGTTAATTTTTTTCCCCAAGTAATGAAACTCTTTAGTTCTCATCTAAGTTGCCTCATCCTCTTTTCCCTTCCAAAGGAAAGTCTCTTTATTGACCTTTGGGTCATAGATAGCTCATTACCCTCCCTTGACTTTGTTAAGTCATCTATACACTTAGTTAAGTTAGAACCTATCCATTGGACTTTGCTTAAGTCTAAAAAGCTTACCCTTTGTTAGGAGTTCTCCTTCAATTAGAACTTAAGATAGAGTTTGTTAACTCTATGTAAGAATCATGGAAATGATTACTTACTCCTCTTTCTTGAGTGTACAATGTAGATTAGAGAGTTTTCTTAAACTCTACACAAGCATTGTAATATTTGTTCCCCTTTCAACCTTGAACATAATCAAGTGTTCTTTATCCCTAGTGACGTGAACTACGATTGCTCTGATTCTATCCTAGTTAGGATACGTAGGCAGAGGACGCGATGTATTTGCGAGCAAACATAGAAACTATCCTTAGGTCTTTACCTACACCTTTTACCCAATCCCAATCCATAGCAAACATTTAGCAAACTTAGCATACAAACAAACAAAAGGTTCATGTAGAGTACTACAGATGTTTAGGATGTGAAATACCTACCCTAGGCATAACCAACCCCCGATCCCCGAATCTCTTAGCATTGTTGTTACATTGCGCAAAAGGTTCTTTCTTTCTTTAGACCTTTCCTTTGGACAAATTAAAGTCCGGTTGTGAATTTAAGAATTAAGATTCAAGTTAATCAATAGCTTGGTATTACGATTCTCACCGCAACAAGAAGCTATTGGAAGCATGAATCATATACCCGATATCTGACAGTAATTGGGTAAGCCCAGTACATGTCGTACCAAAGAAGGGTGGTGTTACAATTGTAACTAATGAAAAGCACTACAAGAAAAACGATGGATTACGACGGTTATTTTGACAGGTTACGACGGTTAAAACCACCATCAATTACATTCTACGACAGTTGTAGTACCGTCGCAGAAACGCGTGTCCCCAGGCTATTTAGCGACGGTTGAAAAAACCGTCACGCACAACCGTTATTATATTTCACGACGGGCTTAAACTGACCTAAACTGGAGATGGCGACGGTTAAAGACCGTCGTTACTAGCCTTTTGATTTTTATTTTCATTGTTGATTGTGACAGTTTAAAACTGTCGTGAACTCTATTTCACGACTAGTTGGAACTGACATAAATTGGAAATGACAACAGTTAAATACTGTCGTGAATATTCTTTTAAATTTAGTTACTATTGTTGATTGTGACGGTTTAAAACTGTCGTGAATGTGATATCTTGACGGTTCATTATTAATTTTTATGTATTGTATTATATTGTTTTATAATATATTCTTTTATTTAAATTATTATCTACTAAATAGTTATATTATTGTTTCTTTAAATTATTTATACAATAATATTTTTATTTATATTTTTTTTAAAATTTTTTTCTATCGCTTTTTAACGTAGTAAAATTAATTCCAAAACTTAATATCAAATAAACATTATAATATCGACAAAACGTGAGTTTCATAATCATGTAAAATGAAAGTTCCATAATCATGTCATGTAATACAAAAATCCAAAAACATATCAAATCATAATCTTATAACAATAAGTATCATTGTGTCAAAAATTAATAAGAAGGTTCATAATCTAGAAAGTATGTCATTATGGAATTCAAGCTTGTCCTCTGCCAACCAGTTTTCCAACAGATTTTTCTTGTTCTGGTTCACAACCAACCGAGACAATTCTAATGATTCGAAGGCATTCAGCTTTCCCCTTGTTAAAAGTGTTCCAAAATACTGCAGCAGGGGCGGAGTTTGACCAGCTTGGACTAGAACAGATAATCACATTTTTAAACACTGTGATTAAAGTTGAGCAGAACTAAAAATGTAGGAAATTGACGGAAAAAGCAAGAAAAATTAGAGTGAAGAGAATATTTTCAAAAACAAAAACTAAATTTATTTACTTGAAAGAAAGTACAGTGATTTATCAATTTATAGAGAGGTCTAACTCAGATTAACTGATATGTACTATTGAAATGAAGCTGATGTCAGAATTCTTAACTGATCTGTACTACCCAAATGAAGCTGGTGTCAGAATTACAGACAGCCAAAAAGAAACACTAGTAATTACAACAAGTGTCAGTAAGATAGGGAAACGTATGTCAAACACTGTTGAAATAAACTGAACTACAGACAGCCAAAAAGAAACATTAGTAATTACCTATCAAAATACTGCACTTTTATATATAACCAAACTACATGCAAGTTAGTATTATTACGCATATAACCAAACTTCATGCAAGTTAGTATTACTCAGCATATAACCAAACTTCATGCAAGTTAGTATTACTCAGCAGTTATATGAAACCGCATAAGATTAAACAGCAATACAACAAAGTTCTTGGGATCTCCCTGACAAAAAAAATAACCAATAAAGAAAAAGTATTAATACTAAAGTTGAGTTCTACACAAAATTGACATACCAGCTTCTCAGCACCAGGAAGATTTCCTCTTTTGGCAAGACTGACAGCTAGCTCTAAATTGTTTAACTGCAGCAGTAACCAATATGAAATGTGTTAAATGCAACTCATTCCTTGCTTCACATCATACAAGTGATAAAAAGGTCATAAACATACTTGGCCGCTGACAAAATTCACAATTGTTTGCTCATTAACAGTGGCCAACAAAACTTGGCCTCTCCTATTAATAGCATAAAATCCACCTGCTAATGTAGCTTCTGAAGTCAAAAATATAGGATCTGGACTAATTCTGTTCCTATATACAGCAGTAGCTGTCTCCAAGTCGTATACAAAAAGTAGGCCAAGTTTGGTAATCACATAAATCAAACTATATTTATGGTAAATGCTCACAATCAAGCATGCCAATATCATGACTCTACTGCAGAGTTGACACGCGTTCCCATAATTATGCTAACTACTTCAACCTCAAAATTTAGAAAATTCCAATTTGGACCCATCTACCGACGGCGTTAATCTTTTACCTTTTGTCATAAACGCAATAAATATGGTGAATTTAATATATATTGTTCTTTTAAGAATGTTATTACCATATTGTTTGAGAGGACATACCATATTAGAAGGAAGGTCAAGGTAAAGAATAGTATGATTGCTTGTCACGTTAGCAACCCCGGGGCCAAATAACTTTTACAGTAAATATCTTATGAGGACCTGCATAGTTATTGTGACAATTTCTGTATTAGCATAAGTGCCATCATCAATATGAATATATTTAACAACTCTAAGTGAGCCATACATGAAACATAGTCTAGTAGCAAACCTTTAGGAGGTTCCTGAAAGTATACAAAATCAACTATCCGCGTATATGATTAATTGAGAAACATTAAAATGCTGAGATCACAATCAAATGAAAAGTAGTGATGAAGAGAGCTTACAAGTTTTGAGTCATGAGAACCAACCGTTGTATCAGTAGAAAGATGTGGGATGGATGAGAGTTCTTGTGGAAAAGGTCTAACAGATGAGTTTGTAATAACAGTACTTCCATTTTCTGAATGGAAACTGTTGCTCTCGTTGAACCGTCTGCTCGGAAGAGCTCGATCACCTATGTCACCAGCTTCTGAAACACTCTCACAATCAACATCATTATCTGTGTGATGGATTATATGACTTAACAAGCTCAATGAACGTCTTCTAATTGAAGAACCGCCGTCGCTGTTCATTCTCTCCATGTCAACCATGCTAACATAGCCACATCAAACTAATAAGAAACTGTGTTGAACACCAAATTAATACAACTTTGACTCCTGCAACCAACCACCCTGCAACTTGAACAAGTTTAAGTTATAATTTAATACTTAACCATTTATTTATTTATTATCATTGAAAGAAACACTTGATAATTAATTTTAAAATACGGTATGCATTTCTGTTAGGCAATCAATATTGACTTATGGATGGATTCACGTGGATAATGACAAAAACAAAGAAAAAGATAGCATAAGCTACAAACAAGTAAACACGAATCAATGATGTCAACAAAATAGTAAAAATCTATGGTTGTTATTTGTCTTTTTTTAAAGCATGCCAATATCAGCTAATATCATTTAACTTTTCAAAATTATCATTATTTCACTTATCATAAACATATCCATAATTCAAACCAATTCAACACTACTATAAAATTATCATAGCATTTTCCTACATCTAAATCTCACCACCCAAAATCGAACGAAACTCCGCACGCGATACAAATTCAAATTGGAAATATCAACTTAAAGCCTTACAAGTTCCCAGTGGAGTTCCATAAGTTTAAACATGAGGATTATGTCGATTACGTACCTTCGAAGACTTTCAGCATAGTGGTTCGTCGACGATTTTCGGGTACGTCTCTATTGTTCTATGCTCTTTTAATCCTCGACGTATATGTGATGGGAATATGCTATGACTTTGTGTATATGCTATTGCAATTCGTGCGTGTGATGAAGGTTTTGTTTTCCAAGACGAGCTCTTTTGATCCTTTCATCATGCAAAGTATCTGCCAAACAGAAATCCAGGTTTATGGAACATAAATGATAAAATGTAAAATAAAAAAGTCTGTTTCAATGAGCTTCTCAACAGAAAATAAATTGTTGTTTTTTGCATTGAAAATAACTATTAGTTAAGCTAAAAGATTGATTTCTGATTCTCAGAAAAAAGCATCAAAATACACTTTTCAACTTTCTCTAAAATACTCTCTATAACAATTGACAGGTTTTGGAACTACATACCTTTCCATCAGAACCGGCAGAGAACACCATATTGTGATTAGGGGCTGCTGCCAAAGCATGTACATTTCCCTTGTGACGAGTAATAGGTTCTTGAGACGGAGCTCCTTGTTGGCAGTACCAAAACTGGACGCTCCCACTACTGTCTCCACTAACAAGTGTCACAGAGACTCTATTAAAGGGGAATTGATGTCAAAACTAATATAAATGACACAATTACCTCTACAAGGTTGTCTAATACTTTCTTCCCATCATAAAAGTATATATCTAGGATATTTGAAAATGATTGTTTATCTAGCTGCAGGACCCTACATAGTTCACAAACACGGACAGTATATGGCTGAGGAATATTGCAAAGAATATATATTTCTCCAAATGAACTGTTGCGCTCTAAAAGTTAAACAGTTTCTTCAGACCCGTCTTCAGCTGTGCCTATTTGCTCCTGCATTGAAACAGTTTTGGGCATTCAATAAACATAAATAGGAATTCATCTACATGGGTGTTGTATCACTTTTGGGCATTCATAGATGAATAAAACCTCTCTATTTTTCCACTTGGGTGTAGTATCACTAGCGTTGCAGCATCAATTGCTTGATAATTGCTTGATAAAACCTCTCACCTCTTCCAAGGAGGCATTTCCATCCCTTTCAGCAATCCCATTAATGGTGACTTCCAACTGCCTAGCACTAGCTCGAGCACCCTGAAAGCAACCACAATCAAAGAGCATACAAATTCAGAATCCAGCTACAAATGCAAAGTATAGATGAAGACAAAAAAAGACAGGAACACCGTGAGCAATCTCATCTTTAACATGCCACATTGGAACTGGGTCTGCCAAACAATGCTTCAGTTTTAACATAACCTGACAATTCCAAAGACTAACTCATAAGCAGGTAACAACACTCCACTTAATTTCTCTTTTAGATTTATTTCTATACACGCATTAACCTAATAGCTTATGGAAACAGTTTATCTAGTGATATCAAATTATAACTTATATGAAGACAGTTTGAAATTATTTTATTTTTTGTTATGCAAGTATTTATTGCATAAGAACTTACATGATAAGAGCTCATGTTACCAAATAGGGCCTAAACTTCATAACTTTAACAACAACAATCAAGGTTACAGATTTCAAAAGGAGAAAACATGCATACCAGTGATAATAAACACGTGATCTCGACCACCAGAACGGTTCCAAGCTTGAGTTTTCTTCACAAAATCAATAACCTCCCTATGCCTCTGGTAATCCTCGTTCCCAGCCTTCTTCCTGAAGACTCATTTAGCCGTACACAGTTGCAATTCAGCGTTGAGAGTAGCAAAAAATGGAACAAAGACCACATCAGCGTCACGTGCGTCAAGAACCCTTTTTACGAACGACCTAGATCGTAATCGAGGAGGAGTCATAAGATCCCCCATGATCCAGTACTCCGCACTATACTGTTTAAAAATTGGATTCTCCGGTGGAATTTCTAGGGTTTTACCCAAATTTGTGGATCAAATTTCACGGTGTGCGTCACTGCAGATACGAGAATCAGTGTCGAAGGACCAGTAGCAGTTAAGGAGGCCCTAATTGAGGGATTTGGGGAGGTCGGTGATGTAGACGTTGATGCCGGAAGAGGTGAGGGGTTGAAGAGGGAGAGAACGGTGTGAGATGGTTATGGTGGTGGTGGAGGAAGAGAAAAAGAAAGCGAGAGAGAAAGTGGAGATGACGGCGAAGAAAAGGAAAAGTGTGGAAATGGAGAAAGGCGCATTGTTGTTATTGGAGGCATTGCTATGTTGTGATTGTGTTTCAGCATTTTAAATTTGGGAAGTTTCAGAAATGGAGAAAGGAGTATTGTTATAAAACTCAATATAAAACATATATATATATATATATATATATATATATATATATATATATATATATATATATATATATATATATATATATATATATATATATATATATATATATATATATATATATATATATATATATATATATATATATATATATATATATATATATATATATATATATATATATATATATATATATATATATATATATATATATATATATATATATATATATATATATATATATATATATATATATATAAACATTGTTATCATAATTAATTTTAATAAAAGTTAACTATTTATATAATAAAACAGAAAACATTTACTATTATTTTAGACAAAAATATTAAGCTACATTGTCATGAAAATTATAATAATTATTTATTAAATTAATTAATAAAATTGAAAAGGTTAAAAAATAAAAATGAAAGAAAAAAATAGAAAATTAAAGGAATAAAAAAATAGTGATTATGATCGGCTAAAGTAATTGCGACAGTTCGCCCTAACTGTCGCGAGTGTGGAAAGAGGGCGGTTCTTTGGTAACTGTCGCATTATTTTATACAACACGTCTAAAAAATTTGTGACGGTTGGCTCAAACCGTCGTGAGAATTGTCGTAGTCCAGGAATAAGGACGGTTTTTTGATAACTGCCGCAAAATATCTACGACAGTTGACCCTAACTGTCGTGACAACCATCGCAATCCAGGAATAATGACGGTTTTGTGATAACTGTCGCAACTCAAGTGTCGTAAATTTCCTTTTTTCTTGTAGTGAAGGGTGAGTCCTTAGCAAAATGAACTCGAACTGGATGGAGGATGTGTATAGATTATAGGAAGCTGAATAAGGCTACTAGAAAAGATCATTTTTCTTTATCCTTCATAGACCAGATACTTGAACGGCTAGTCAAACATTCACATTTCTGTTACTTAGACGGGTACTCAGGATTCTTTCAAATACTTATCCATCCTGATGACCAAGAAAAGACTACATTTACTTGCCTCTATGTCACATATCCATATCGAAGAATGTCGTTCATACTGTGTAATGCTTCTGCAACATTTCAGAGATGCATGATGTCTATCTTTGCAGATTTCATAGATGACATAATGGAAGTATTCATGGATGATTTCTCTCTGTGTGGGGGAAGTTTCAAACACTGCCTATCAAACCTTGAAATGTTACTTGAACGATGTATTAAGGTAAACCTTATGTTGAATTGGGAGAAATGTCATTTCATGGTGCGACGGGGCATAGACCTTGGACATGTAGTATCCGGTAGAGGTATTGAAGTAGACAAAGCAAAGATAGAAGTCATAGAAAATCTTTGACCTCCCAAAACATTTAGAGAAATACGAAGCTTTTTAGGACACATAGGTTTTTACCGACGATTTATTAAAGACTTCTCTAAGATCACAAAGCCTCTGACTGGACTACTAATGAAAGAAGCCAAATTCATATTCGATGAAGAATGCTTGGGAGCATTTGAACATCTAAAGAGTGCTCTTATTACCACACCCATTGTGCAACCACCTGATTGGAGTCTACCATTTGAAATAATGTGTGTTGCTAGCGACTATGTTGTGGGCGCTATCTTAGGACAAAGAAAGGACAAAAAGCTTCATGTTATTTACTATGCAAGTAAAACCCTGGATAACATGCAGATGAACTACACAACCACAGAAAAGGAACTCCTAGCCGTTGTTGTCGCCCTAGATAAATTTCGTTCCTATCTAGTAGGAGCAAAAATCATTATCTATACTGATCATGCCGCGATTAGGTACCTGTTGGCTAAGAAGGATGCCAAACAAAGACTCTTGAGATGGATCTTACTTTTGTAAGAATTCGATTTAGAAATTAAGGATAAGAAAGGCACAGAGAACGTGGTAGCAGACCATCTCTCTAGGATTGAGGGTCTAGAACCCGAAGAAGTTCCTATAGATGATGCGTTCCCTTACGACAGACTAGTAGCCCAATTGGAAAGCGAAGGTGACACAATAGAACATTCCTTGTTATTTAACGATGCATAAACTATGAAGCAGTAGAAGCAATCTGTACTAAAACCACATTGTCATGGTATGCTGACTTTGTTAACTACCTAGCAGCCAAAGTGCTTCCACCAGA